CGTGGGTGCTGCACCGCTGGGGCACAGCACCTCTGCTGGGACACAGCACCTCTGCTAAGGCTGGGCTTCCACTCACGTCTTGTTGGGCAGCAAATACCTCCCCGAGCTTATTTTGTCGGTCCTGGTTAGAAAGCCCAGGTCAGTGAGCAGGGGCAGGATCTGCAGAGCCAGCGTGGTGAGTGCTGGGGGGGCTCGGCTGCTTCAGCGTCCCTGCTCCGCTGCTGCAGAGCTGCCGCCTTCCCCACCCGGCCCCGAGCTGCCATTTGTGCTGGCACTGTGGGACTAAGCTTAATGCCCAAATAAGCCCCCAGAGCACGGGAAAGAAAACACGTGCTGGTTTTTCTAGCAGACTCACTGAAGCCGTCTGGGAAAACATAAAATCCTTCACAAGTCTTTCTACTCTCCAGTGCCTCCATTTTTCTATCACCCAGTGGCACCCACACACCTTCAGAAGGGGAATCTGGAAAAGGGAGGGAGACCCATGGATTGAAATGGAAACAGATTTAATAAAACAATGATGACTAACAGTAAGAGTAAAACTAATTTAAAGTGCACCGAGTTGTGCTGGGCCCGTGCAGCGGTGGCAAGCTGTGCGCTCCCGGCAGCAAGTGCTGGATGCCCAGCGCCCGTGAGCAGCACGGCTCCAGCAAAATCACGATGGTCACAACACACGGGAGTGGGCTCGGGAGAAGAACAATGGGTGAGACCCCTGAGGGACAGCAGCCATTGAGGAGAAGAGCCCAGCCCCAGTAAACTTCCCAATTTAGAGGGCGTGTGCCGCTGATGGTGTGGAATACTTGTTGTTGGCCAGCCCAGGAGAGCTGCCCTGGCTTTTGCTCCTTCTGGCTGTAGGACCCAACTGACTCAGAACTGCTGAGGACCTTGATCGCTAAGGAGACCCACACACCATGGCTGGCCACGAACGAGAACAATGTCTGATCAACTTAGTTCTCACCAGTTTGAGTGCTGCAGTCTTCTCAGAAATCTGCTCTCCTGAATAGAAAACTGATTCTGTGATTCTATCCCAGGGAAACCAGGACATCCAGGCAGAAGGGGAGGGTCCTGGGAGCTAAAGCAGATTTGGCAAAAACCCAAGGAAGGAGCAGTTCTTGAGTGAAGTGCTGGGCTTTACTGTGCCTCCCGAGCGCGCGTCCCGGGGCAGCAGCCGTGGGGACAGGGGTGGCACTCGGGGTGCCTGACTGACTGACAGGGACCTGGCTGAGCCTGCCCTGTGGGAGTTGTGTGCAGGTGAGGATGAGGATTTACAGTAGGAGCAAGGCGGGACGCGATTGCTTCGCAGAGTTTGGAAGCTGCGTTGCCGAGGGCGTGCGGTGCTGCGCAGAGGGCTGAGAAATAGGCAGAAGTGGAAGATCCGCGGTGGGCAAGAGGAGAGACTCCCTCACCCCAACGTTTTTCCAAAGCTAAAGGTTTCTTGTGTCTTACCTCATTCGACGGCTGCTTTCCCGTGGGATCGTATTTGCACTGTCCCCCCACCACAAAGAGGAAGTCGTTGATGATGGCGACGCAGTGGTTGTACACAGGCACGCAGAGGTCCCCGACCTTGTGCCAGGCGCTGCAGCTCGGGTCTGCA